ATTGCCAAGGGATCTTTTAAAAATCTGATGTTCAGACTAAACTCCTTACCATTTATAAAACACAGGGGTGTCAGGGGGCCCAAGTATCAGGATCTCAGCAACATTTAGAGCCTTGTCTTTCCAATCTGTGTCAGAATTAAGAGCCATGGTTCTGGGCGAGGTTTCTGAATGAAACCTTGGTGAAGGAAAACTTTTGGGTGGATATCTAGCAAGTTTCTCTATAGAGATGCTAAGTGGTAAAAAAGCTTTGTTCAAAGTATCCAATTATTATTATTAGAAAAATGCTATGTTAAAGTATTAATAGACTCAACTGCTGAACCGCAAATAAAAACTTAACTTGAAGTCTACTTATATAATAAAAAATCATCACAGTAAAGGTTATTTTGTGTGGTTCTTGAGGATGATCAAAGGATACCAGGCATCAGAATATATTTTATAAACTATATATTATTCATCTGTTATTAAACAGCCAGGTGACAGAGCCACTTGTAATTAAATCAAATAGAGATTGTCATGTAGCTTTACTTATCATTTGTATCTAGCCCAGTTACTGGAGTAAGGCTCCTAAACTATCAAGACCTGTACTCCTGAGTCAGGAACTGGAGGCAGAGCCTAGCAATCCTTGTTTTAAAGACACCCTCCTGTAGGTCTGATGTGTGCTAAACTTTGAGAACAACACATCTAGGCAAGTATTAGTAAAGAGGAAGTATGTAATAACCAAAACCAATGGGCAAGTATAAACTGACTGCTGTTTTAACCTTTAAAAGCCACGGAGCAAATATTATATGGTGTGAATTACTACTCAAAAATGGGTTCTAGAGTTTTATATCATAAAACAATATTACTTTCATTATTAAGCCAAACTTTAACAATTAATACATGATTATGGTTATTAATCCAATAATAGCATATTAGGCACTTATTTAAATTACACAGTACATAATAGTTTGGATAAGGCACAAAGAAATAAATTCTAAGAGAAGTAGCAAGGTTTCTGAAAGTAGGAAGGTTTTCATTTACTGGGTTCTCACAGAAGAATTACAGCTTTCTTTTTTTTTTTTTTTTTTTTTTTTTTTTTTTTTTTTTTTTGGTTTTTCGAGACAGGGTTTCTCTGTATAGCTTTGCGCCTTTCCTGGAACTCACTTGGTAGCCCAGGCTGGCCTCGAACTCACAGAGATCCGCCTGCCTCTGCCTCCCGAGTGCTGGGATTAAAGGCGTGCGCCACCACCGCCCGGCTAATTACAGCTTTCTTAATAGTCACATTTATCCAAAGACAACACCCAATAGCATCTTAATGTTCCCCATCAGCCCAAGGAAGCGCTTCATCAGTGACTCAGAGCTAGCATCACTTGAAATGAATCATCACCAATGTTTCCTGTATATTAGATTTGTCATCGGGTCTGCTAAGCGACAGAAAAACAGTTTTTAATTTCTTATCTTCAAATATCTCATCATAGAAAACTATCATTCTTGCTCCATGACTCACAGTTCAAAGGTTGTGATGTCAGTAAAGCACATACAGAGCAATAATGAATAACACAGAGGGACCTTGTAAGACCCAACTGAATGCTCTTGGAGAGTTCTCACTCTTTTCCCATTTCAAACCTTGAGAGCTTCAAGGCTCCCACTAGCTCCCTGGTGAGGTCAGAGTAGGATATCATAATTAAGAACTAACTTTAGTTTTGCTCCCCAGTTTCTGAGTAAAACGTATGTAGAAATACATTTTCCTAAAAGGTCTTTAACTGTAAATAAACTCCTTTTTTTGACATGATGGTAGATGACTATCGCCTTTCTTTGATTAACATTCCTGAGCTCTAAGGAACTTTACTTCCTTCAAACACAAGCTTCAGTATTTAAAGAATCTGGAATTAAAAATAGAGGCACATACAGGAGGAATTGGTTCAACAACTGGTATCTACATCAGGATGCCTATCCTAGGACATCTCATTTCCTACAAGGGAAAGAAGAGGTATACATTTTTTTTTTTTATCTTGAGTTCTAGTTGTCAACTTGACATAGTCTAGAATCACCTGGGAAGGGGGTCTCAATGAAGAATCGTCTAGATTAGATTGGCCTGTGGGCATGTCTGGGGCGGGGGATTGTCTTGATTAGTGGGAAGACCCGCCACAGTGGTTGCACCATTCTCTGGGTAAGGGATACTGGATTGTATATGAATAGAGAGAACAAGCTGAGCACTGGATGCACACATGCATTAATTCACTCTGCTCTGCTCTTGACTATGGACGTCACGTGACTAGCTGCTTCAAGTTCCTATGTCCTGACTTTGGGCTTCCCTGCAATGATGAGCTGTAACCTAGAATTGTGACTAAATAAGCCCTTTCTTCCTCAAGTTGTTTTTCTCAGGGGATTTTAATCACATCCACAGGAAATGAAAAGAAGACATTTGTCAAAATTATTGTTTCATGGCCTTATGAGTGCTCATAACCACTTACTGTTTATAAATGCTTATTGTTTTCCTAGAAAGTTCCTGATCTTGCACTAGGAACAAAATGAGTTCTCAAAGATGTAGACTTCAGTGACCAGGCCCTAAACTCTATATGCCTATGGTGCTAGGTTTCAGTTGCTCTGAAAGCCACAGCGATCCAAAATCTTGTGTGGGCACCAGAACCACCTGGAAGCTTGTGAAAACACAGTCCCTATTCAGTTTCTCTGAAGGAGTTCTGACCTAGGCACCGAATCAGCTGCTCAGTGAATCCCTAACTGATGCTGAGGCAGCTGGTCTCCAGATCATACTTGGATGAACGAGACAAATGACGGCTCTGCACACCAATCTGCCAACTTTCAGTCACTGACCTCCCTCTCTCAACAAAAGCCAGGGCCTCATAAATGCTCAAAATCACTCACACTCAAGCAGAATTTGGGGTCCCAGAACCACCTCAAATATAAGATCAGTAGCTCCAGATTCAAAGTAGTTTATACTATGGAAAAGAAACCTCTCCTTCCAGGGGCTTTTCTTTTTATTTAGGTTTTTCCTCATTCACAAATCACTTCCAGTTTTCAATATGAATGTTACAGAAAAGAATGACTCATTTAGGTTTTTCATACGTTTTAATTCAATAAATTCATAGTTCTCTTTTGAATTAAGTTTTCATGCCTCCTCCACCTTTGTTGGACTCTGTGCTCTCTGAACAAATAGAATCATAAGGTTGAAAGAACATTGGGAATTCATTTAATTTCTCCTTGGCCTCAGACAAGACTGTGTCTAAATCATCCTCAAGTAGAGCAATTGAGCAAAAGAACAGGCAGCCAGGCTCCCCATTCCGTGTTCTATGTGTACTTGAAGATACTACAATGCCTTCTCTTCCCTAAGTCAGCTGGCCTCAGCTTTAGGGCATCCTTATCAGATGCCTAAACCTTAAATTATTTGGACTCATCCTTAATAAGTTTATTCTACTCTTAATAAGTTTATTTATTTATACTACTTAAATATATGTTATCCTAATGATTTTTTTGTTGGTAGGTAGAAAGGGGAAGATTAATTCATAGAGTAATTCAAAGTGATTTAATTAGCACAAATAAAGATTTATGTATAGATGCCATTAACTATAATACAATGGACCTTATGGGAACAAAAAGTGAATTAATTGAGAATAATCTGCAGTGATATTAGTCATTATATTTTATTAAAAGAAGTGGTGATGCAGTATAGTTTTGAAAACTTTATATTAAGAGTCATCAGACATTTTACACATAAAATGGGTGGGAAGAAGAGAACTTTTAAAATAGATTGCAAGTTCTACTTAACCATATTTTATGATATTTCACATGAATGAATATTAATAGAGCATTATTCATCTTTTTTTATTTTTTCATGTTGTGTAGTCTTTACTACTACAGCAGAGCTATAGTAATGGATGATTTTAATTTTTATGACTCAAAAGTATGGGTTCTGTCATATGGTAATCAATTTTCTGAAAAATTTTTTCCTATTCAAATACTTGAGGCATTTGGAGGTCCAGTGGGTACATGGACAAAGGTCTATGGACTGTATATGTTCTTGCACAATTTAGCACGCTACTGTGTCATTTATTTTAACTTCAGCATTCTCACTATTACTATTGCAAACGTATCCTTTGGTTTTGGAATGGTGAGGTACTCCAGGCCTCCCTGGCCTTGGAGGATGGGTTTGCTCCTTGCCTACTGTAGTAAAGCTCTGTGGTGGAGGTGGTGCATTCAGTCTCCAGAGAGAAGGAAGATGCTGCTTGCACAGCACTTCTACTCACCAGTCCATGAAGCAGCAAGGGTGTTGGCTTTGAAGGAAGCCAACTGTCCTGCTCTCCCAGCCAGAGGTAAAGAATTGCATTGGTGGCCACTAGAGGGAGGAGGATTAGGAATAGAGTAAATTGTGGGGAAAAGGCACCCATGAAAAACGCACATGGGACAACCAACACATCACCAACCACTGCCTACCAGCTACGGCTACCTCGCTGAGGGATTAGAGTGGGTTCACTACACATCGTCAGCCCAGAGACCCAGACACTAGTAATTCATGTAGCATCCCAGTATATTGCCCCTTAACTTTGATGGCTGGAGGAGGGAGTTTGGATGGGGTTGTGGGAAACACGCAATTGTACAAACACAAGCATACAAGCACACATACATTCTCATGCCCCATTACAACAAGTTGCATCTGTGACGTCTGATTCTTGCTGGTTTTTAATTTAAAACTCTTGATGTTCTTTACCAAGAATGTGTTCATGAAAAGCAAACAGCCCACCTTCAAAACAGTCTTGGAGAAGCACCAGCAGAGATACTCATTGTGCCAAGATGTATTTTACCAACAAATCTGTGTAAATTACATGAGGTTGAAACAAACACAATGTAATATAATTAAGCAAAGTTTCTTTTGCTAAATTACAGCTTGAAGCAAACCTGCAAAAAATGTTTCCAATTAGCTTCTTTAGCAAACAGAAAACACAGCTCAGAGTAGGTCTGGCTTCCCACACTGCCAGCTGTGGGCTGCCTAGTGGGTGTCTTACCTCCAGCACAGGTAGCTGAGCATTCTGACCAGGGCTGATGATGCCACAGAAAGCCAACTTCATTATCTCCACTGCCAGGACGAGCGATGGGAACGTTGAACTTGTACCTAATTCCCAAATTCTGTTCTTGGAGTAGAACCTGCCATTGAAAACAACTGGTGAAGATAATTAAGACACAATGAGCCTTCATTTAGACATTCATTATTTCTTCTGAAGAAGAAAATGGCACAGAGCAAGTCTTACAGGAAATTTGGAACATGTCTTTATTTACTTTATCTTCTGGACAGTCTCAGTCTGTGGTCCAGGCTGACCCTGAACACAAGACAACTTAAAAAATTATCACATTTTTGTTCATTCATTAGTTAGAGAGGGCTGAACACATGCCTTGGAGCATGGAGAGCTCAGAGGGCAGCTTGCCAAAGTTGGTCCTTTCCTTCTCTCCTGTGAACCATGGGGATTGAACTGAGGTTGTCAGGCTTGGTGACAAATGCCTTTATCTGATGAGGCATCTCAGTGGCCTCCAAGACAACTTCGAAGCACACAAGTTTACATAAAACATAATTTTTTTCTGTTCATGAGTACTTGGTCACTGTTTTCATCTATACTGCTTGATCGTATAACTTTACTCAAGAAACATGAAAAGCCGGGCAGTGGTGGCGCACACCTTTAATCCCAGCACTCAGGAGGCAGAGGCAAGCAGATCTCTGTGAGTGTGAGTCCAGCCTGGTCTACATAGGGAGTTCCCAGACAACCAGGGTTACACAGAGAAACCCTGTCTCAAAAAAAAAAAAAATCATGAAAGTCATCTGACAAGAGATCTACGGTCTTCACTCTGCAGCATCTACACCCTTGGGCAAATCATTTTAGCTTTATTGCCTTATTTCCATCACCTGTAAAACAGAGCTAATCAAACATGACCCTTTCCAACCCCATAATGTGGAAATTGCAGTAAAAATATAATGGCAAAGACACATTTACCATTACAATGAGGTTTTCAGAGGTGGGTCCTAGGGCTTCCAAGGATTCTGGTTCATCTGTTGGTCTCTTGTAGTGGAAAGCTGTCCCAGAAACATCGAATTTCCTAGGCCAGTCAATAGTCCAGGCACCGTTAATATAGTAATCATCCCCTTCAGATTTTAAAGCTGGAAAGGAGAACAAAAATTCCCCTCAAAATATTAAGTTTCGCTTACTAATAGATCATGGATCAACTACTACACTAAGGTTTATAATGAATAGCCATTTCATTCAGAAATGATGCTGGGCCATCTTCCTTCTCCCTGTCTCACGTCATCTGTTTCTCTTTCCCTTCTTGCTTTTATTCCTCCCAAACAGTGACAGACTTTATTGTGGGGGCATTCCTATTTGGGACCCCACCTTCTTAAATTAACAAGTGCATAGAAAAGATGGGATTTAGAAACCTTCGTTTTTATATCCCGGGTTCCCAGTCAGGAAGAAGGTGATTGCCAGGTTGCCTGCGGGGTAGAGGCAGGGCCCTTGCTCCCTATATGCTTGCATCCTCATAAAGGTGAGACAGACTAAGGAGCCACAGGATAGGGTGAGATGACATCAGGCACATGAGAAGTGTGGGGTGTGAGAAGTGTGGGGTGTCTATGGCCTAAGGCCAGCCTGGGGTGCAGAGTGAGACCTTGTCTCAAAAGCAAAGCAAGGGCAGCCACTGAGGTTATGAGCTCTCTATGGAGCCCACTGGTCTTGTATTTGGAAGCCTGTTCCTGTTAGCCTCCTGAGTACTTGGTCTACAGGTCTACTGAGGGACCCCATATCATCTACTCCTCATTTAAATGCAAACTGGAATCACAAACTTACAGCAGCTGTGTCTGTATTAGTTCTGCACAGTAACAGGGCCACTAACAGTCAGGCAGGGATGGGAAGGGGCTCAGAGGTCCCAATCCATCACTACTGAACTATTTGCTACAAATACACTTGGGAAGAAGAGAACGTGTTGCCTTCAGTTGTATACCCACTCGTGACCCCATCAGGTTCCAATGGATACTTTCAATTCAATGGCCACACAGATAACCCAGGTTAAGCTAAATGGTCATAAAACAAAACTACAAGTCATACATCTGGGAAAGGGAATGGGGAGGTTGGTAGGGATGGGGGTATGTAGGGGAAAGAGTAATAATAATGAATTACATACATACGTGTATGAAATTGTCAAAGAACAGAATTAATAATAATGAAACAATGTCAGCCAAAGAACTGCAATAATTTTTCATATGAATGTGAAAAGGTAATTACTTAAATATTCATAGTATCATTGGTGGAAATTAATGAAACATTTATATGAGAGGATAAAAGAAGCATTAGGAAAAAGTTTAAAGAGCTGCTTGGCATGAGGGTAGAGTGAGGGACAGACTTTCCTCTCTAAAAATTAGAGGAGTGATTAAATGGCCATGGTGAGGGAAAACTTGTTATTCTGGCACTGTGGGGCCCCACAGAGGCTTCCTAGTAAGATCTTACTCAAGTTCAGAAAGTCTGAGCTTGCTTTGTCCAGCAGAGCTGCATAATAGGATGATTTGGCCAAAGGTGCGGGTACCAGGTGTTTTATAGGGTCCATACTTGGCTGTATATTGGTGCTTTGATCTTGAAAGGGGGAGGTCTTTTGCCTCTCCCCTTGGTCGTGTATAAAAAGCCCATTAGAGTAAAACTCTGGGCAACTGGGTATTGACCCAGGGCCCTCCCAAAGCTATCCTGTGTCTGTCTTTCTTATTGTCTACACCTATATTTCTATCTAATACTTCCTCATTCCTCTCTCCTCCTCCTGCCCCAGGAACCCTTTGACAGGTTGGAGCTGGACCCCCACATGGCACACAGACAACTGGACAATAGAACCAAAGAGTTAGAAAATAGACACAGGTACATAAGAGAATTTGTCTTTGTCCTACTTAGCTTTTAAAAAAATATTTTTAAAACTTACTTCTCATATATTACTTCCTGACCACAGATTCCCCTCCCTCCTCTCCTCTCAGTCCTTTTCCCCACCTTTCCTCTTCCTTAGATCCACTCCTCCTCTGTTTCCCTTCAAAAAAGAGCAAGCTTCCCAGAGATGTCAATCAAGCATGACATTATAAGATGCAATAAGACTAGGCACATACCCATGTATCAAGGCCAGATGAGGCAAACCAGTAGAAGGAAAAGGGTCCCAAGAGTAGAAATAAGAGTCAGAGATAGACCCACTCCCACTGTTAGGAGTCCCACAAGAACACCAAGCTGCACAACCATACCATATATGGAGAGGACCTAGATCAGACCCACATAGGCTCCCTGACTGTCACTCATCTCTATGACCACCTATAGGTCCTAGTTAGTTGATTCTGTGGGCTGTTTTCTTGTGTTGTCCTTGACCCCTCTGACTACTACAATCCTTTATCCCCTTCTTCCACAGGATTCCCCAAGCTTCACCTATTGTTTGGCTGTGGGTCTCTGCTTCTGCTCCTATCAATGGCTGAATGAAACCTCTCTGATGACAATCTAGGCTCTGGTCTATGAGTGTATCAGAATATCATCAGGAATCATTTAATTGACTGGTTTGTTTGTTTGTTTGGCAGTTGTATTTGGTTCTATCCTAGGTCTCTGGGCTTATCCAGCTTCTGGTTCCTTGCCTTCCAAGCAGCGTCAGGCATGGGCTCCCTCTCGTGGCATGGGTCTTAAGTTGGACCAGTCATTGGTTGGCCACTCCCACAAGTTCTGTGCCACCTTTACCCGAGCACATCTTCAGGCAGGACAAATTGTAGGTTGAAGGTTTGTGGCCAGTTTGGTATACCAGGCCCTCCACTGGAGGCCTTGCTTGGCTACAGAAGATGGTCTGTCAGTTCAGGTTCCATATCTCCTATTAATTAGGAGTCTTTGCTAGGGTCACCCTCAAATTCCAGGGAGTTTCCAACGCACTAGGTTTCTATCTCATCCTTGAAATATCCCACAACTCCAGTCATCACTCACAGTACTCTCTTCCTCCAATCCACCCCACCTGATCCTGTTTCCATTCCTACCTGCCCCTCAGTCCACCCATGAAATCTACTCTATGTTCCCTTCCCAGGGAGATCCATGTGTCCCCATTTGAGCCCTCCTTATTATTTAGCCTCTCTGGGCCTGTGGATTATAGCATGATTACTTTACAGCTATCATCCACTTATAAGTGAGTACATACCACATTTGTCTTTCTGAGTCTTGATTACCTCACTCAGGATGGTTTTTTTCTAGTTTCATACATTTGCCAGAATATTTCATGATGTTATATTTTAAAAACAGCTGAGTAGTACTGCATTGTGTAAATGAGCCACATTTTCTTTATCCATTCTTTGGTTGAGAGACATCTAGGTTGTTTTCAGTTTCTGGCTATTATGAATAAAGCTGCTATGACACAGTCGAGCAAGTGTCCCTGTGGTAGGATGGAGTGTCCTTTGGGTATATGTCCAGGAGTGAGATAGCAGAGTCTTGAGGTATATCAATTTCCAATTTTCTGAGTAACCACCATATTAATTTCCAAAGTGGCTGTACAAGTTTGCACTCTCACCAGTGGAGAAGTTTCCTCTTGCTGCATATCCTCTTCAGCATGAGCTGTCCTTTGTGCTATTGAGCTTAGCCATTCTGACAGGTGTAAGACTGAATCTCAGAGTCATTTTGATTTGCATTTCTCCAATGGCTAAAGATGTTGAACATTTCTTTAAGTGTTTCTCTGGCATTTGAAATTCTTCTGTTGAGAATTCTCTGTTTAGATCTGTACCCCATTTCTCGAATGGATTATGATTTTTTTGATGTCTAGTTTCTTGAATTCTTTATATATTTTGGAGATCAGCCCTTTGTCAGATGTGGGATTGGTGAAGATCTTTCCCACTCTGTAGGTTGCGTTTTGTCCTGTTGACAGTATCCTTTGCCTTACAGAAGATTTTTAGTTTCAGAGGTCCCATTTATTAATTGTCCATCTTAGTGCCTGCACTATTGTTCAGGACGTTGTCTCCTGTGCCAATGTGTTCAAGGCTACTTCTATCAGGTTCAGTGTATCTGGTTCTCTGTTGAGGTCTTTGATCTACTTGGACTTGAGTTTTGTGCAGGGTGGTAGATATGGAGCAATTTGCATTCTTCTACATGCCAACACCCAGTTAGATCAGCACCATTTGTTGAAGAGGATGCTTTTTTTTTTCTATTGTATATTTCTGGCTTCTTTACCAAAAAAACAGGTTTCAATAGGTGTGTCAATTTATGTCTGGGTTGTCAGTTCAATTCCATTGAGCCACCTGTCTATTTTTATGTCAATACCATGTGGTTTTATTACTATAGCTCTGTAGTAGAGCTTGAAATCAGGGCTGCTGCTGCTGCTGCTGGAAGTTCTTTTATCGTACAAGATTGTTTTAGCTATCCTGGATTTTTTGTTTTTTCCATATGAAGTTGAGTATTGTTTTTCAAAGTCTGTAAAGAATTGTGTTAGAATTTGATAGGGATTATGTTGAATCTGTAGATTGCTTTTGGTAAGATTGTGACTTTTACTGTTAATCCTACTGATCCATGAGCATGGGAGATCTGTCCATCTTCCCATATCTTTTTCGATTTCTTTCTTCAAATACTTAAAGTTATTGTCATACAAGTTTTTCACTTGCTTGGTTTGAATTACCCCAAGATATTTTATTTGTGGCTATTGTGAAGAATGTTGTTTTCCTGATTTCTTTCTTAGCCTCTTTATCATTTGTATATAGGAGAGCTACTGATTTTTTTTTTTTTTTTAGTTAATCTTGTATCCAGCCGTTATCAACTGTACAAGTTTCCTGGTAGAGTTTTTGGTATTGCTTGTGTATACTATTGTATCATCTGTGAATAGTAATACTTTGATTTCTTCCTTTCCAATTTATATCCCCTTGATCTCCTTCTGTTGTTTTATTACTCTAGCTAGAACTTCAAGTGCTATATTGCAGAGATATGGAGAGAGTAGACAGTCTTGTCTTGTTCCTGATTTTGGTGGAATTGCTTTGAGTTTCTCTTCATTTAATTTGATGTTGGCTATATAGGCTTGCTGTAAATTGCCTTTATTACATTTAGGAATGTCCCTTTGTTTCCCAGATCTATACAAGACTTTTATCATGAAGTGGTGTTGGATTTTGTCAAAGGCTTTTCTAACATCTAATGAGAT